CATCTCTCTGCCCGGCTGTCTGACCATCTCTCTGCCCAGCTGTGTGACCATCTCTCTAACCAACTGTGTGACCATCTCTCTGCCTGGCTGTCTGATCATCTCTCTGACCAGCTGTCTGACCATCTCTGTCCGAGGGTTGAGCTGAGCCACTGTGTGCCGAGTTCCCCCCAGGTTCCAGAGGAGATGAGTCCTGCCTGTTGCTCTCCCTCCTAGAGCTGCGGTCCAGCCTCTGCAGCTCAGAGAGTGTCCATCTGACAGTTAACGTCCACGAGCGGCCTCTGAGCTCGAAGCGGCTGTTTGCAATGACTCACTCACACTGGCGTCAGTTTCCTAGCAGGGGGCGGGGAGACGTGTTCTGTGTGTGCTTGAAGTGCAAACCCTACCGGACTGTTTTCAATGGTGACCTGTTGGTCTGCCTGCGGCCGAGCCTAGAGTGCTCTGCCTGGGCAACCCAGTGTCAGTGGAACCAGGCTGGGGACTCAGGCATCTGTCCTGTCAAAGTCCAGATCTTACTGCCCTGTTCTCTTTGTCTCACAGTCCACACAGAGAAACAAATCAGCTCTCGCTGAAGGAAGAGGACACGGCACGCCCCTCTCCGCACTCTCTCACCTGCAGATGGCCCTAAGGCCGTGGTGGGCTGAGAGCGCAGTCTCTGCCTCTTGCTGAGGACTGCAGCTGTTCCCTGCAGGAGAGGGGCGAAAGTGTCCTGCTCCAGTGGCGGGCAGTGAACAGAGAGCGGACCTCTCGCATATACCCCAGACTGCCCTGCCCCTGCCTGGAGCTCTGCTCTGTCCCCCCATGTCTCCCCAGCATGCCTCTGGCCCTGACCAGCACAGATTCACAGCAGATACGCAGACGCGCCTTGTTCCCTCCCCTCTCTACTTCCGCCCTGCAGGCCAGACGCTCAGGTCACTCAAAGCCACTGAGCTCACAAATGCACTGTTCCATCTGCTGTAATCCTGTGTTCTTCTCTCGCGATAGACTTACCCACGTAGGCCTGAAACATGTGTAACGTACTAAATTACCCGGGGGATGGGAGTCCGGCCATTCTGACCCAAGGGTACAAACTCTCAGTGATAGAGGGAGACACAGTGAGCAATGTAGGGTGTTGCAGAGAGACAGGTGTTGCAGTGGCAGTCGGGACTCACAGGTGGCGCTAGTGAGCTGAAAGGTGACCTCGCTGTCAGGGATGTCACACACATTGCGCACGGACACCTGACAGGTGTAGTTGGCGAAGTCCTGTGGTCGCAGATTTTTCAGCTTCAGCACCTTCGTCTCACCCTGACAGGAGAAGACAGACAGCAATCAGACAGAAAGAGAACAATCAGACAGACAGAAGACAGACACGGAGCAATCATACAGACAGACTGCAATCAGACACCGAAATCAGAAAGACAGAGAGCAATCAGACAGACAAACGGACAGCAATCAGACACAGAAATCACACAGACAAAGGCCAAACAGGCAGACAGCAAACAGACACTCTGAAGACAAAAAGGCTACAGTTCTCCAGCTCCTCGCTAGTAGGGCAGTTTCATTCTCTATAGCGCCTTCAGATGGTGGGGACTGGAACTGATCACTGCAATTAGATTAGAGCAGAGAGCAGTACCACCACAACACAGGAGAAAAAACTAAATTATCAATAAATTCAGGCAGAGCACAGACGGACACCCACTGACAAAGAACTCTGCAGCCCCAGTGGCTACAGCCCATTTCCCATGGTGACTCGGGTCCCACTGCCCAGCTCGCCCCTCAGCCTGTGCCTGCACTGTCATCTGGTCTCACTGCTTCCTGAGCCCCAGCCTGGAGCTCCCACAGGGACAACAACACTGCGGGCGCGTCATCACAGACCAGACCTGCTGCTTTAAAAGCAAGAGAGCAGGAGCAAGCTTGGGTGGTGAGTGATGTTGTATAACACTGAGTCACAGACACACACAGGTAAATACACACACTGTCTCTCTCACACACTCCACTGAACAGTAAAAACACACAGAGGTAAAAACACACCCTGTCTCTCACACACACACTGCACTGCACAGTACAAAAACATACAATACACACACTGTCTCTCTCATACACACACAGTGCTGAATAGTAGAGGCACACAAACAGGTAAATACACACACTGTCTCTCTCACACACTCCACTGAACAGTAAAAACACACAGAGGTAAATACACACCCTGTCTCTCTCACACACACTGCACTGCACAGTACAAACACACACTGTCTCTCACTCACACTGCACTGCACAGTACAAAAACATACAATACACACACTGTCTCTCTCATACACACACAGCGCTGAACAGTAGAGGCACACACACATAAATACACACACCATTTCTCTCTCACACACACTGCAGTGGACAATACAGTACAATGAACTGTATACTGTATACTGCACAGTATACAGACACACACAAGTCCCTAAACACGTGAATACATACACTCTCTCAAACTCAATGAACTGCGCAGTAGAGCCAGGCACACAGGGAAATACATAGTTTTTGTCTCTTTCAAACACACTGCACTGCGCAGTACAGGCACACAGACACAAAGAAAAATATACACAAACTTCCTCCCTTTCAGAAACACTGCACTATGCAGTACACATACTCACAAGTCAATATATACACTGTCTCTCTCATACACACTTCCCTGGACAGATACTGACACACAAAGGTAAATGCACACACAGTCTCTCTCCGACACATATTGCACTGCACACTACAAACACACAACACGCACACATCGGTAAACACACACTGTATCTGTCACATACACACTATGCTGTTCCTTATAGACACATACACATATATATACAAAGTCTCATATACACTGCACTGCGCAGCACAGTTCCACAAAAGTAAATGCACACACCATCTCTCACTGTGCAGTACAGACACACACGTAAACACACACAGTCTCTCCCACACACACTACTCTGCACAGTACAGACACTATAAACACTCCATAAAATATATACACTTTGTCTCTCTCTCATACACATACTCGGTATCTTACAGACACACACGGGTAAATACAAACACCCTCTCAGTCCTATACAGTAAACTGCAGGGAAGTAAATACAGTAAATACAAGCACAGGGAAATACACAATCTATCTCTCTCATACACACTTCACTGCACAGAACAGACCCACACAGAGGTAATTCCACACACTGTCTCTTTTCCAAACACACTGCACTCTATTATTCACACAGCACTGCGCAGTACAAACACACACGGGGACTTACACTTACACTGTCTCATACACTGCACTGCGTATTATAGAGACACACCGGTAAATACACACACTCTACCTCTCTATCATAAACAAAGCGCTCTGCAGGTAAAAAGACACACTGTCTCTCTCTCTCATACACATTATATTGAATAGTAGAGACACATACAGGGAAGTACACACATTCTATCTATCTACAAAGCACTGTGCAGTATGGACAGACACAGGTAAAAAGACACTGTCTCTCTCATGTAGACTATATTCAATAGCAGAGACACGCACAGGGAAATACACACAGGGACTCTCTCCCATACACACTGCACTCTGCAGTACTGTCACACAAGCCTCGCTCATCGTAACACAGAGGCATACACACAGAGGGTTATAAGAGTCTGAAATACACTGTTAAAAATGTGTAGCCTTCATTCATTGGAAATTGAAATTGATAGTTTCCGTGTTGTAAACTCTGAGAACAATGCATAGCAATGCCACAAACCAATGACCAGGTTTATTCCATTGGAAGTGATAAAACAAAAACTGAAAATCTGGTACATTGGCATGTATCACAAGGATCTTTCCATGAGACTGTTCCTGAGTGTACACCGGCTGACAGGTGTGCTGTGTGAGTGTAGACAGGCTGACAGGTGTGCTATGTGAGTGAAGACAGGCTGACAGGAGTGTTGTATGAGTGTACACCGGCTGACAGGTGTGCTGTGTGAGTGAAGACAGGCTGACAGGAGTGTTGTATGAGTGTACACCGGCTGACAGGTGTGTTGTGTGAGTGTAGACAGACTGACAGGTGTGTTGTGTGAGTGTAAAAAGGCTGACAGGTGTGCTATGTGAGTGTAGACAGGCTGACAGGTGTGCTGTGTGAGTGTACACAGGCTGACAGGAGTGTTGTGTGAGTGTAGACAGGCTGACAGGTGTGTTGTATGAGTGTAGACAGAGTGACAGGTGTGTTGTATGAGTGTAGACAGAGTGACAGGTGTGTTGTGTGAGTGTAGACAGGCTGACAGGTGTGCTGTGTGAGTGTACAGGCTGACAGAAGTGTTGTATGAGTGTAGACAGGCTGACAGGTGTTTTGTGTGAGTGTAGACAGGCTGACAGGTCTGCTGCGTGAGTGTAGACAGACTGACAGGTGTGCTGTGTGAGTGTAGACAGGCTGACAGGTGTGCTATGTGAGTGTAGACAGGCTGACAGGTGTGCTGTATGAGTGTAGACAGACTGACAGGTGTGTTGTGTGAGTGTAGACAGGCTGACAGGTGTGCTATGTGAGTGTAGACAGGCTGACAGGTGTGTTGTATGAGTGTAGACAGGCTGACAGGTGTTTTGTGTGAGTGTACAGGCTGACAGGAGTGTTGTATGAGTGTAGACAGGCTGACAGGTGTGCTGTGTGAGTGTAGACAGACTGACAGGAGTGTTGAATGAGTGTAGACAGGCTGACAGGAGTGTTGTGTGAGTGTAGACAGGCTGACAGGTGTGCTGTGTGAGTGTAGACAGAGTGACAGTGTGCTGTGTGAGTGTAGACAGACTGACAGGTGTGTTGTATGAGTGTAGACAGACTGACAGTTTTGCTGTACCTGAGTGTAGAGAGTTTGTACCTGAGTGTAGAGCGTCTGTACTTGAGTGTATTCAGGGTGACAGTTTTGCTGTACCAGAGTGTATTCAGGGTGACAGATTTGCCGTATCTGAGTGTAGAGAGGCTGTACCTGAGTGTAGAGAGGCTGTACCTGAGTGTAGAGAGTCTGTACCTGAGTGTAGAGAGGCTGTACCTGAGTGTATTCAGGTTGACAGTTTTGCTGTACTTGAGTGTAGAGCGTCTGTACCTCAGTGTAGAGAGGCTGTACCTGAGTGTAGAGAGGCTGTACCTGAGTGTAGAG